TTCACCATGTTCGTATCTATTACGGTTATCGAGATATCAATGCTCGTACCTCGAATTTGTAGCATCTTGTATACCTTGAGGAATTTGTCATTAAATTCCTGTTCATTCTACCATAAAAATACCATGTTGGCATTCTCGAAACCAAGTGGTTTAGAAATTCGTTTTTGGTTATTTTTAGAAAAAATTATCAATTATAACTAGTGACGAGAAAATGCAAGACTAAGACCAAGACTCCATGGCCTTGGTCTTGGTCTAGCCGCAAGACTCTTGCAAGTCTCGCATTTTTTTAATAAATTTTAACTAGATGCACTTTCTACATAAATAATCCTTAACTAAATATTATTTTTAGTAATTTAACACTAATAAAACTATAAGCTTCATTCAGAACCTCCCAATTAGGGGAATAAATTAGTGGTTTTAATTAATTATACTTTATATACTCTTTAGTTTACAATGATAAAGCTTCATTCAGAACCTCGGAATTAGTGGAATAAATTATTGGTTTCAATTAGCGTAGAAGTTTGTTCCTTTACTTTTAATGTAAGCATTCAGAACGTCAAAATTAGTGGTAGGTATTTCCAATTAGTACAAAAAGTTATCAAACTTTTGACTTTTCCACTAATTACACTTCAAAATTTGCGAGAAATGTCATTTTGGCCTTTGATTATCTTCCGTCAAGAGAAATTGTGGTTCTAAATAAAAAATTGATTGTTTTATAAGCTAAATATTAGACTTTCTCTATGGATACATCTAACTAATGCAAGCTGTTTTTTAAACATTGTGAATGATCGTAAACTAAAAAGTATAAAGTGTAATTGAAACCAATAATTTATTCCACTCATTGCGAGGTTCTGCATGAAGCTTAAGACAATGATTCACAATGTCTAAAAAACACAATTAAAATTAGTAGAATATCCTAGCAACAACTTGCGGTAGTCAGTTGTATCCATAGAGAAAACCCATGAGAAAATCTGTTACAAAGATACATGTAAAATTGACAAAAATCTGATTTTGAATACGCATTCGTAAAATCATGAATTGGACATTTCTAAAGTTGAAATTTGGGTTATAACGAGTCGGAAACACAAGCTGTTAGAAAACTAGAATTAATGCATTTGATATTATCTGATTTTATGATTTTATACAATAATTCAAAGTTTATGAATTATTGCTAGTCAAACTTCTTTAATTTCGATAGTGATTCACTCACCGTCATCTAAATTCTACGCAATTGCACGGCACCATAATTATAAGAATATTATAATTATTGTGCCGTGCAATTGCCAAGTCATAATTATTACAGAAATAAAGATGTCTTATATAGATTCTAACAATTTATAACAAAATTGTTTAATAGGTGCTTAAATAGAAACAATATAAAATTAACTGATGAGATCCCACAAATTTTTATGGGATGTGAAATAATTGTGTTGCGAGACTTGACATGTTTTTACATTCTATGTTTTTGATGAGATTTGGCTTTCTTCATATCTCTCTGTAGCTTCCGAGATCATAATGGTCACCTTCAAATTTGGTACACACTGTATAGTTTAGAAATATTTTTAAAATGTGTAGCACCATTATCGTTATAATTTTTAAAAATACATATTTTAGCGAAAATCTTAAATAGGACACCTGATATACAGAGTGTCCCAGACACCCACAGTGCAAGCATTTTAACTGGTAGTATAGTTCAACCCCAGAAACAAGCTTATGAGGTTTTTTATTTTTTTTGAAAATTTGGAATTTTTTGAAAAAATTTTTGGAAATTAAACATGACCTAACCTAACATAAATTCTTGATAATATAGCAACATAGGTAGTAGATTAAATTTACAAGAAAGAAAACCCAGAAAACCCAGAAAGAAAGATCCAGTGGTTCTCAAAATTTTAGCAGAAAATATTTTTTTTTTGGAAATTTTCAAAGTAAAATAACTCCGTTATTTTGGACTTACTCGAAAAACGATAAAGAGAAAATATGTTTATTTTATCGAGATCTACCACCCCTTAAAATACTTGAACTTATTTCTGAGACACCCTGTATAGAGTTTTTTAAATACTGGGCCACCCAGTATGCAAAAAAGTTAATAATATATTTTTTAAATTCATCTTGAGCATTTTGCTACTGAAACAGAAATAAAAGTCATTTTTAGAGGTAAAATGCCACTGCGTAGACTCCAAAGGGAAACCAGCTTGTGAGTATTTTTTTTTGCTCGTAAACAAATTTCTTTAACCAACAGATATAACTTTTTTATTCTTTAGCTTTCTGTTTGAGTGGCCAAAATTCCGGGATTTTTCTTAGAAATGTATCTGGCACAAAGCTATAGACATTATTTAGGAATATATATACATATATTAACAAAATATTTCTTATTTATTAGACTAGTTTAAGCTTCAGATCTGATTTAATAAAACTGATTAAAATAAAAAAAATAATTACAATTGAATAGTAGTCGTAAAGTTAAATAATAGACCATTAAAAAAGATTTATGATCACATGCATAAAACCCATTATCTGAGTCTATTTTCATATTAGTACTATGATTTACCTTATTTCTTTATAAATACAGGGTGTTTCAAAAAACATGTGCCATCCCTCATAGAGAGATTCCTCACGTAAAGATACGATTTATTTTTTATATCAACATACATATGTCCGATTCTACTTTGTTTCGTGTAGCTATAGGGGATTAAAGTCATAATTTTTTTTTTCGATTTATTATAATTTTCATCCAAGTGCTTTTAGCGATTCGAATGAAATTTTGAGACTAAAAGTTATTATAAGTCCGAAATTCCTTTAGTTTCTATAACACTTATGTTCAGTGCTACAGTACCTACAGCTATTTCAAGAAAGGAATAACTATATTTAAGATAATTACGACCTATTAAACTAAAATCTATTTTTTTAGTTTTAATATCCAGTAACTTTATAATTATGCATTTCCGCACCCATGTTTATAAGAACTCTTTCATATTTTTTATGAGAAACCAATTACTTATTTAACGCTTTGATCAGTTAATGACATTAAAATTTGTGATTGAAATCGACATATTTCATAAGTGGTAACTTTTAATCGACATTAAATGGCCTAAACAACTGTGCTAACAAGAGAAAAAAGTCAATGCACGTCCCTGGTGAATCTGTCGACACTTTTTTAACATTAAAGTAAGTCGCACTTCTAGTAATTTTTACCCTCAAATTTTCATTCGAATCGCTAAAGGCACTTGGAAGAAAATTATAATAAATCGAAAAACAATGAAGACTAACCCCCTGTAGCTATACGAACCAAAGCAGAATTGGAGCTATGCTGATAGATCTAAGAAATAAGAAATAAATCTTATTTTTACTTGAGTAATCTCCCAACGAGAGATGACACATGTTTTGTGGAACACCCTGTGTATTATTTTAATATCAGGATTAGATTTTTTTATTACTTGTAACGAGACTTTTGTACAAAATGTTAACTCAATAATCGCTATAACTCTCGTTGCTTGTCACGATATTGTTTCTTTCTAATTCTTAAAATACTGATAAGATCTGTAATTGCTGGAGAGTGTAAATAGGTCTTGACCCGAGGAAACTTTTAAGGAAGTAGACTTTTTTTATAGATTATTAATTAATAACAAAAACTCAATTATATGATAAGATCTTGGTCACTGCTGAACCCGAGAAGTATTAGATTAAAAAGTGGCTTTTATTATCCATGAAATTAATGATATTTATTAAAAAAATAACATTAAGTGCGTGGCCTCACATGAGGCGTACAGTATAGCGTAGAGTGGAAAGGACCGCGAAGCATTTAAATGCATTAAAGTAAGCCGAAGTCGTCCCACATAAGCGTAGCGTATTTCAGCGTATTTTCTCACACTGTACGCACTCCTCTCCGCCGCGCCGGCGCCGTACGCTACGCTCTACGCGTTCAGCTATGTTAGGACACGGCCTAAAGCTATAAGCGTGGATTGAATAAATTAGAAGATCCACATCCAATGACTAAAGAATCCAAGGACAAATAACACCCGAGAGCAAATTGTGACGATGTCGCCAAACAGTGCCGTGGCACATATTTTTCTTAACCTAGCTGTTTGAAGAGATATTTATATTTTTTGATAAATGTTTTGACAACGTCTATGGTGTATACGTTGGTATCATACTAATTAATTACGAGAAAACGTATTAAAATGTTAATCAAAAGTACAAAACTATTATCGAGGTATAGGACACATCAAGTACATATAATATCAGAAAAATAATTATCGAATTCAAGAAAACTAAGAAAACGCTAAAAAGGTAGAGCGGACTGTTTATTTACCTATGAAACGTAACTCCTGGCTCTTTCTTATCGCTGCTGCTTTTACACTTGAAAGCCGAACAACTAATCACCATTGTATTAAAGTTTATACAAAGTTCACTACACACAAACTATTAAAAATCGCTAAAATTGTCCCTGGTGACTAGATGATGACTCATTGTTTGCCATCAATACAATGGCGTCTAAGGTCACAAATTCTGCTGCAGCCCGTATATGGGCGTTACATGTCCTTATATTCTTTAGTCCCTAGTTCTTAACCCGTAGATTTACGGATTTTGGATACAGTGCGTTAATAAAATGTATTTTCTATCATTAAACAATTTAATATAAAAATTAGGTGTGACGGGTTAGTAAATAAAGTAATTTTTTAACATTATTATTTGTGAAAAATTAGATATAAATAAAAATGCATGCTGTTCTTGGTCTTGCGTTAGTTTTGCACTGGTCGGTCTTGCTCTTGCAGAAAAACGCGAGTTTTAGTCTTGGCCTTAGTCTTGCTTTTCGTGCCAACACCAAGACCACGCAGGAGCGAAACCAGTATTGCTCATCACTAAAATACATGCCTTTCAAAACAGCACTAATATCATATAGAGAGAATATTTAAATTATATGACAAACTTATTGGTTTGTAACAAAGTCAGTTTCTCGAATATAATAATATTAACATGAAGCACACTCGTTTGACACTCACCCTTCTGCCAGCTTCATTGTTATGTAAATTCATAAGAGCCCGACCTTGTTCTCTCGTACCCCTTTTAAATTTCCTTTCCTTCTCACGAACATCGACAAAATTCTGTGTGAATCTGGAAATAAAAATAATATTTTTTTAATAATCAAAGATAGACAATCTACTGTGTGACAAAAAAATGGTCCCACCAAGCGCAAATATTTACATATTTTGTGATATTCGCATTAGCATTCGCTATGCAAAATTTATGTAAATATTTTGCATACCTATTCTTCTTTTAAACTTTTATCATTTTATACATAAATCTTTTTATATTTTGAACTATCTAATTACTGTGACGTAAAATAGGCTATATGACTTTTTTATATATCTTCCCAACTCCTCAATATTTGCATCAATTTTTACAGAACAATTATAATTGGGCAGACTTATGTAAAATGTATCCTTAATCCCCACACTCGCTATTCGCTAATGCGGTTCGTCAATGCAGTTCGTTAGTATGTTTGGAAATTCATGCATTATGTTCGTGATATTTTTTTTGGTGGTTCGCCCAAAAACCCACCTTCCGCCGAACCGCCGGCGCCGCGCCGGCATCGGCGAACCGCAAATAATAGTGAGTATGGGGTTTTAAAATAATGGTTAAAATCGTAATAAAATCGTTAAAAAATACTATAAGAATAATGTTTAAAAAAAATATCTCAAATTACTGTCTCAAATTTGGAACACGCTGTATATTTTTTTTATAAAAAAAGTGCAATTCAAAAATTAATTAGAGAATCAATACAACGGGTCAATTACGTCAAATATCATCTCCCGATGGACCACTAAAGTTAAGCGACGTGATACGAAGTGGATATTTGAAAGGGTATACGTCTGAAAATTTCCTATGTGCTTTTCAACGGCAAGCACTCTTAATTTACGCGTATTGGAGGCCGGATAATGTTGGATATTTTTAGCCGACCATTATACCAACAGGTATGGTAGGCCATTAAGATCGGCAAAAAAAAAGTTTTTTTTAATTTCAATCAAACATTTTTCATGGTGTCTTTCTGTCCGTCTGTAACACGATAACTCAAAAACCGCTAAACCGATTTTAACCAAATTTGGCACAAAAATAGTGTGGGATCCGAGAAATCTGGCCATTAGTTTTTGGTGGGATGAGGGGTTGGTATGGTGGTATGGGAGGCGGTTAAAAATTTTAAAAAATCGTAACTCCAAAATAACAGTAGCTAGCGAAACGCGGTTTTCAATTGAATATTAGGAATAATATTTGCAACAAAATTTGTAATAACATCAAAATCAGTCAAAGTCGCAGTTTTTGAGATAATTGATTATTAACATATTTTAGTATGGGCGGCTATACGTGCCTCCCGGTGCCAATTTTTTGAGTGAGAGTCGATTTAGCACCCGCTGTTAAACAAAAAGTTGCGGGTGCTACAAGTTTTGTGCATTGGAACACGGGACATAGGAAATCTTGTAGGACATCCCATGTAAACTTTTGAAAAGGTCAAATATTATCTCCCCAGATCATTTTATGCAAAAGTTTTATTAGACTTTTTTGAATAGGGGTTAAAATTCTACTTTTGTCTAGAATTTGGTTTCATTTGAAATAGTCATTTAAAAGTTATTTGCAAAAATCTACCTCCAAATTAGTAAAACTTATAATACGACCTAGAGAAAACTACAATTTAAATACCAAAAAATGTGATTGTGCCATTTTCAAATTCGATATCACATTTTGTTTACAAAATTTTGAAGGTACCAAATAGATTAATTTTGTATAAAATATTTATGATTTTCGCAACTTCTGAAAAAGTAACGATGGTTAAACGACATTTTGCTGGAAACAGTAATTAGCTAAGTTAGGCCGGAAATCCTATACTGAATAAGTCAAGAGCCTAAAAAGAAACTAGGCAGAGGCAGAAAAAAAAACAAAAATGACGTGAATATTTTTCATGATGAAGAAAAGAAAAACATTGACTCCCGTCTATTGGGGATAGTAGGAAAAGACCACATGATCTTTCACCGAACAACTTCTTCTTGTAGAGCACACTTAAAAATCGTCTTTATGGGCATAGTAAATTAGATTAGATTCTTAGAGGTGGCTTTCGGCCTGATCCACTACGACTTTCTCGGATCTATTGTGGTCCCCTTCTGATCTTTAGATTACATTCTCCAGTCATATCCTTTTCACAAAGTTTAGCAACTTGGAGACTGAACCCTCCATGTAGTACCCTGGCAATGACCCATCATTGCCTATTACCGAGAACCGCACAGTTGCCAGGCTGTTACACCGACATAAAATGTGTTCTGATGTTTCTTCTTCAGATTGGCAGAACCTACACATAGCTTGGCATAGTAAATACGTAAATAAAGAAATTTAGATGAAAAAAATGAAATCGACATCCCTTGAAATGCTAAGGATATTGCATTTTACAATCATTTGGGGTATCGTTTGGCTGTGAATGAGGGGTTATGTAAACACCTTATTAATTAGTATAGTTTAATAAAGTGCTTTTAGTTACAAATATTTCTTTTATTTGTTAAATTATTGTGTATACAGGGTGCTACAAATTCGAGGTACGAGCATTGGTATCTCGGAAACCGTAAGAGATACAAAGATGGTTAAATTGGGGCAAAGTTGCGCTTTAGGATGTTCACCAAGATGCCATCAAAAAAGTTTTAAAAATTTCAAGGATTGCTGAGTTTTTTGGAAAAAACGATTTTTTTTGAAAATCAATTTTATTTTTTCCTGACGTTACTTTTTAGAAAATCAAAAAACTAATTGCACATTCTCATGACTACTTCATTAGGACTATCTGATAGTATTTTTAGATTTTCAAATTAGCTGATAATTTGTGAGATACAGAGGCCAACTTAATTTTTTTAAATACGGTCCTGCATTTTTTATTTGAAGTTTTGAAAGAACTCGATCTCCTGAGTACAATGATATGCCACACTTGATACTTTTTTTTGTTTTAGGTAACTTAACAATAACAAAACTATTTAATTATTATTTAAAATAATTTCAAGTCCCACTCTGGTTTTTTAAATTATTTAATCTGATTATATTCATCGCAACAATATGGATCAGCGCTAATTAACATTGAATCGAGCCAATTGAAAGATTTAACAATTTAAAAATATTATTTATAACTTTTTTTGTTGTGATTTTGAAATCTCAGTGTACGATCTAATAATATGGATAATATTAATCGTAGTTAGTATAAATAAATCAACTTCTACAAACTAGTTTCTAAAACTAGTAATGCTCTACATGTTCGAAAGGGTTACCACCGTCCCTAATGCACAAATTAATATATTTTTCGTTCAATCTTATTTATAGCTCTTTGAACATATCTTCTTATACTTCCGAATGCATTGTTTTATTTCTTTTTTTTCTCTTTATTGTAAATGTTGAAATGTATTGTCACTTTTAAAAATGACGTCAAGTAATGCCCAATAATTTTATATTATTTTTTATTATTTACAGTTGAGGGTTGGAACCTTTGGTGTTACACAGCAAAATAAAAACACAAAATCACCACAATACACCAAAACACTTTTACTTTTACACTGGACGCGCGTTTCGCTAACCATGTTAGCATCATCAGAAGATGATTATAAAGTCAAGTTTATAAGCAAAATAGAGACAAATGCAAAATAGAGATAAACACTTGAGTTTATAATCATCTGCTGATGATGCTAACATGGTTAGCGAAACGCGCGTCCAGTGTAAAAGTAAAAATGTTTTGGTGTATTGTGGTGATTTATTGTTTTATTTTGCTGTGTAACACCAAAGATTCCAACCCTCAACTGTAATCAAATCTCGACGACAAAAAAAAAACAAAGTAAAAATGAAACTTCTACTGTCGCGCGTCCAGTGTAAAAGTAAAAGTGTTTTGGTGGATTGTGTGTATTTTGTGTTTTTATTTTGCTTTTTATTATTTAATTGCATTTGATTATCCGTATTCAATGTTTTACTCCACGGCATTGTTAAGTTTGAAAGCTTACCAATATTGTAAGGATGAATAGATTAAATATTAAAAAAAACAGAGCCGGACTTGAAATTAGCTTAATTAAATTGTGTTCAAATGTCCAAAACAAAAAAAAATATTAAGTGTGGAGGCCGAGTTCTTTCAAAATCTGAAATAAAAAATGCAGGTCCGTATTTAAAAAAATTAAGTTGCCCTCTCTATCTCACAAATTATCAGCTAATTTGAAAATCTAAAAATACTGTCAGATAGCCCTAATAAAGTAGCCATAGAATATGCAATTAGTTTTTTGACTTTCTAAAAAGTAATGCCAGGAAAAATAAAATTGATTTTCAAAAAAATCCGTTTTTTCCAAAAAAAACTCAGCAATCCTTTAAATTTTTAAAACTTTTTTGATGGTATCTTGGTGAGCATCCTAAAGCGCAACTTTGCCCCAATTTAACCGTCTTCGTATCTCTTACGGTTTCCGAGATACCAATGCTCGTACCTCGAATTTGTAGCACCCTGTATATCTGGTATGAGCGAGGCCTGCGAGTGATCGAGTAATAAACAATAAACAAGTCATACACCGCGAATACAACTAATCTTTTGTAGATGATAATTCCAATTCAGAAAAAAAATTAACCACCCTTTCCAAACCACATAAATTCTTGTATAAAAAATGTGACATCGAATTAGACAATGACAAAATCCTATTTAATTGTAGCTTTCTCTGGGCCGTATTATAAATGTTTAGTAATTTGAAGACAGACTTTTGCAAATAACTTTTAGATGCCTATTTCAAACAAAACAAAATTCTAGACCAAAGTACAACTTTAACGCCTCTTCAAAAAAGTCTATTACAATTTTTGCATACAATCATCTGGGGAGATAATTTTTTTTTAATTTGATCTTTTCAAAAATGACATTGGGATTTTCTGTCTCGTGATGCGATTCACCACACGGTATAAAGCTTGATTTTCATGCATCCGTGATACGTTGAAACGATGCTCCGACGGTGCTCTGATTGGTCATAGTGTTTTCACACCACTTTTCATTCGTAAATATTTTACTTCAGTCCGTCAACGGACTCGTTCATACGATAACGGACGTTTTGACAAATTTAATCTAACCCAATCTA